CAGTAGACCATATATGTATGGATGCATTTCTGGGCTCTCTATTCTGCTCCGTTGGTCTATTTGTCAATTTTCATGCAAGCATCACACTGTTTTGATTACCATCATTTTGTAATATATTTTGAAATCAGTAAGTGTGATGCCTCAAGCATTGTTCTTCTTGCTCAAAGTATCGTTGGCTATTTAGGGTCTTTTGTGGATCTATATGAATTGTAGAATTTCTTTTTATGGCTGTAAAAAAATATCATTAGGATTCTGAGAAAAACTACATCAAATCTTTAGGTTGCTTTGTGTAGTAAGACTATTTTAACAATATTCATTCTTGAACACAAAATGTTCTTTCATTTATTTGTGTCTGCTTTAATTTCTTTCATCAGTGTTTTAGTTTTTATTGTACAAATCTTATATCTCCTTGGTTAAATTTAATTCTAAGTATTTTATTCTTTATGATGCCACTGTAAATGGGATTCTTTGCTTAATTTCTCTTTTGCATAATTTGTTAGTGTATAGATATGTAACTGTGTTTTTTGTATGTCTTTTTTTATTTTATATCCTGAAAAATTAATGAATTCATTTATTAGTTCTAACAATTTTATGTTGAGTTTTTAGGATTTTCTACATATACTGCCATGGGCTTCCATTCTCTTAATTGGTAATTAATATTCACAACTCTCTCTCATGTGCTAGTTCATGATGGACATACTTTGCTGGAATCATATATTCAAAGAAAAACATTTCTCTAACTGAAACATTGTGGGAAACTGTTTATTGCCTTCACTATCTGATAAGCATAGACAGAGAACTCCCTGAAACCCCCCCCCCCCCCCCAAGGCTGGGTGCCTTTGAAGCCCTAGCAAAGCCCGGAGCTAGGCGCCACCTCTGTTTGTCCAGAGAGTGGTAGCTGAAACTACTCCCCCATTTATTATTATGTAAATCCTTGCTGATGGGCTAGTCTGTTTGTTACTAGGGGGTCACCTGCCTAAGGGCTACTCCAGATCAATAAAAGATTGGAGCAGCCTGAGCATGGGTGGAAGTCCCTCTCCTTGAGTTGGACTTGCCCGCCTGGACCTCCAATATTGCAAAATTATCTCGTGTCTTTTTCTCTCATTTGTTGTGCGGCTCCTCTTTCAGGTACAGAACCCTACTCCACGTGGGTCGTGGAAGGAAACACTCAACAAACATGACATCTAAACTACTTGTTCTCCCCAAACAGAAATGCAGGAATGATTCTCATGGTTTCTCTGTTACATTTGAGTGGTTTTCAAGGGCTAGCTGAGACCATGCTGGGTCATTGACTTGTGAAGTCATGGCAAGGTGATTTCTCAATTTGGGGATGACAATGCATTTGAGATAGAGCTGGATATAAAACCTCCTATAACACCCATGTGCCAATGCAAGACAATCCAAAAAGCACTTGTGAGTGTAGTAGATTTTACTGAAGATATAGGAGGCAGAAGATACCATTGTTAGTGCATCTTTGAGGTGAACCACAAGTCATTAACTCCACAGTAACCCAGTCCAGCCTATTTCTACCTTCTCTCTCTTCTCTAGTATTCTATTTTATTTATTTTGTGACAACTTTGCTTTTTAAATCAAACAAAATTTCTTTAACAAATAAATTGAGTGCTTTCTATTGCTTGTGTGTGTGTGTGTGTGTTTGTTTTATAATGTGAAATAAGCTAGTCAGAGAAAGACAAATAACATATGATTTCACTTATATGTGGAATATAATGAACAAAATAACCAAAGAAGAAAATCAAAACAGACACATAGGTACAGAGAATAGACTGACAGTGGACAGTGGGGAGCAGGGAGAAGGGCTGCGTGAAAAAGGTGAAGGGATTCAGCACAAAAAAAGCAAGCTCACAGACATAAACAACAGTATGGTAATTACTAGACGCAAAGAGGGGTGGGGGAAGGAAGAAGATGGTAAAGGGGGAATAGATGGTGATGGAAGGAGACTTGACCTTGGGTAGTGAACACACATTACAATATACAGATGATGTCTTATAGAGCCAGACATTTGAAACCTATATAATTTAATTAACCAACTAGTGTGGCTCTTCCACAAAATACCACATGCGGGCATGCACATACAGTGTGACTGAAACTTCGTGGCCCATGCACAGAAGTCAGTATTTTGTGGAAGAGCCCCACTCAAGGGGCCAAAGAGCCGCATGTGTCTCACAAGCCGCAGTTTGCTGACCACTGAACTAGAGGCATGGTGCACAAAAATTTGTGCACTCAGGGGGGTCCTTCAGCCCGGCTTGTGCCCTTTTGCAGTCTGGGGCTGCTCGGAGGATGTCCACCTGCTTTCTGGGGGATCAGGCCTAAGCTGGCAATCAGACATCCCTCTGCCAGCCTGGGAGCGCTCAGGGGATGTCCACTTGCCAGCGGGGAGCAGGCCTAAGCTGCAGTCAGACATCCTTAGCACTGATGAAGAGGCTGGAGAGACTCCTGCCACCACCGCTGTGCTGGCAGCTGTCAGCCTGGCTTGTGGCTGAGCAGAGCTCCCCTTGTGGGAGCGCACTGACCACCAGGGAGCATCTCCTGCATTAAGCATCTTCCCCCTGGTGGTCAGTGTGTATCATAGTGACCAGTCATTCCCAGTTGTTCTGCTGTTAGGGTCAATTTGCATATTAGCCTTTTACTGTATAGAATAGAGGCCTGGTGCATGGGTGAGGGCCGGCTGGTTTGCCCTGAAGGGTGTCCCGGAACAGGGCGGGGTGCTGCTGGGGTGCCTGGCCAGCCTGGGTGAGGGGCTGATGGCTGTTTGCAGGCTGGCCAAACCCCCCAGCAGGGACCCTCACCCCATGGGGGTGTGGCCTGCCTCAGTGAGGGGATGAGGGCTGTTTTCAGGCTGCACACAGCCCCTTCAGGGTGGGGGGTCCTGCTGGGGTGCCTGGCCAGCCTGGGTGAGGGGCTGAGGGTCGTTTTCAGGCTGGCCATGCCCCCTGGTGACCCAAGCTTCCAGCCCCTCCTTTTTTTCTTTTTTCTTTTTTTTCAGTGCCTCCTTTAGTGGAGGCCAGGCCAGCTGGAAGCAGGTATCTGGGAGTTATTTATCTTCTATAATTGAAACTTTATCGCCTTGAACGGAGCCCAGGGCCAGTCAGGGCAGGCGGGAAGCTTGGCTTCCTCCATCGCCAGGGGCAACCCAAGCCTCCTGCTCGCTCCAGCTCCGTGGCTGCAACGATCTTAGTTGGGTTAATTTGCATACTCACTCCTGATTGGCTGGTGGGCATGGCTTATGGGTGTAGCAGAGTGGTGGAGTGATGGAGTGATGTTTAATTTGCATCTTTCTCTTTTATTAGTGTACATGTCACTTCAATAAGTTCATTATTTTTAAAGAAAACAGACAACATAAATAAATAGTAAGAATGAATAAAAAATTGATCATTTAATTTCACTATAAGTTTTTGCAGAGTCAATTTTAACATTTAAATTATAAATTTGTCAAAGACAACTTTCTGATGAAAGTGTGATTGGTAGTATCAGCTCACATATCAAAGGAAGAAAAGAGGATTCAAAGTTTTCAAAATGAAATTTCATTTTCTGACGTTATTTTATTTAACACATTGTATGCGGGAAACGTATTTATACATTTTACGTTGACTGGTAGTAGAGCGCGGGACACGTATTAATACGTTTTTTATAGACTAGCGGTAGAATGCGGGTAACGTATAAATACGTAAACTAAAGTTATCATAATTTTACTGAACGTTGCCATTTGCACAAAAAATTAGCAAAAATGGCCCATGCCACCTGTTAGCGCGCGATAAAAACTACCCGCAAACAATGTGTTAACAGTCTCCTTTATGTAACATAATATAAATCTATTTTTGTTAGTGTTGTAAAAATTAAGGCTCCATAATCTGTTTTTGGTATTTATCACTGTTATTATCAAAGAGACCATATCACAGAAATATACTGACTAAAATGAAATTGACACTCAAAGAATTGATACAATTATTGTTCTATAGTCAGTACCATGGAATGCTTTTTTTTTTTTTAAGGTAAATAAAAGTTTCCTTGATATTCAACTAAAATATATAAGCCAGCATTCTAGCTCATACCAAAATTCAAATATGGTAAGAGTACCTTAACCGAAAGGAACAACCTGATGAGACTAAATGTTTGTAACATTTGTCAGCTTTATAAAAATATTAATACATCCTTCTGGTCGTTTTTTGGATTTTGTTGTTGTTTTTTAAATATGTTTTTATTGTTTTTTAGAGAGAGACGAAGGGAGCGAGAGAAACATGAATGAGAGAAAAACATTATTGGCTGCCTCCTGCATGCCCCATACTGACGGGCAATCCAAGTATGTGCCCTGACCTGGAATCTAACAAGTGACTTCTAGGTGCTTGGGTCCAAACACTGGGTTGCTGGCCAGACTGAATATTTCCTTTTCATTTGTGTTTTTCTGTTGCTTTATTTGAAACAGACTCTCAAATTATACTGTCCTCACTCCCTCCCCCACCAAATCTGGATCCACCCTTGTATAAGCAAGAAACCAACTATATGTAACAGAAGAATAGTGAGCTCGACTGGGTTATAAAATCAAGAATTTTGTACACAGTGTTTTTTATGTTTTTGCTTGTTGTTGTTGTTGTCTTGCTAATGAAACAAAATTATGTTGAACAAAAATAATTGAACAAGTGAAATATTTTAAGAAAAAGAGATTAAAAAACAAGCCTCTTTCCTCACAAAACTACCCCTGCTGTCCCATGGCTCACATTCAGCCTGCTGTTCTGTATTGCTTGTGGGTTCAGGAAACACAAGCCACCTGAGGTGAGACCAACCTGGAATTCTGAGGACAGGTGTGGAGGAACTTCAACTTTCTTCTCAGGTCACCTGCTCTCCTGCCTCAGTTAAAAAAAAAGGGGGGGGGGGTGAGGTCAGGGAGGGCCAGGGGAGACCCAATGATTCAGTTCTCAAAGAAGCACATGGCCTTTAGATTTGGGTTCTTATCAGCCCAACCCTTAGCTTCTTGGCTGTAACATCTGGCATGACTTTCAGCTTTTAAAGAGAACAGTCAGTATCTGGAAGAGCCAGACGCAGGAGGAACACGCGAGGAAAGAGCTAGGACAGCTGAGAACTTGTCCCCTGTCGGCTGCACAGGAGTCACGGAGACAAGTAAGTTCACCCCTAGACTTGCTCTTCCAGGCCTATATTCCTTAATATCAACAACAGGTGCCTAGATGCACACCCCACACAGGCATCCCGGGCTTGGCACTGAAGGGCAGGGGACAGTGGGAAGCTAGTACTGGGCCTGGCTACCAGCACCTCAGGGTCTCTGTTTGGATCAGAGACCTCTCTGTGAAGCAACCAGCCCCCATCCACCTAGTCTCCAGGGTGAGCTGCCCCTCTGGCATCCTCCCAGGGCTACACAAACAGCCCTTCATGGGGGGGGGGGGGAGGAGGAAAGCATCCTCCCTCAAATGCGAAAAGGGCTTAAATCCTTCCTGGGATGGATGGAGTAAATCCCATCCACTTGCAGAGGCTCCTGGTGTAGTCTCTCTCCATCCATCTCCCTGTCCCTCCTCAGACTGTCCCTGACCACCACCACACCACCTCCCCCGTTCATTCCCCACCTCCAGGCATTGGAGAAACTGAGAGAAATGGTGGTCCTTAATTTACAGACAATTTAAATCTTAAGAGATTGACACAGATTCTTTTTGTATTAGCAATACTTAATATCCCAAAGGTAGCACAAAGCTCTGTTATATAGACTAATTCAATGTCATGCTCACTGATCAACTGTTAGAAATACCTATAAGATCTAATAGTGCTTGTTTACCAGGCACTGTTTCTAACATGTGTGTGGTCCATACAAGAACCATCTCAGAACATCCTGTCACACTTGCTGAGAAGTCAAGGCTTGGGGTAGTTTTCACCATCACTTCAGGTGACTGACTCTCCTGAGGAATAAACTTTGGAAACCAACTAATGCCACACAGGAGACCTATTTCATTTTACTTCTTTATTTGAACTTACCAGCTTTTTGATTGGGTATTCCAGTTTACTTGCATTTAAAAAAATTTTTTTTATGAAGTGATCTATTCTGACCAATTTTTTAAATATTCAGTTCAAGAAATAAATTCTGTAATTCTTCCTGCTTATACCCACTATGATGAAAACAGTAAAGTAGGGACTCACCAGCTGTGGGACTCTGGCAGATTTGGGCACACCGTAAAACATGCTGGCTACTGCCTCTCTTCCTTGTCAGCCTAAAAGTAAAGAATAATGTCCTTTGATTCCAATTAAATGAATTCCTGCACCCATTAATTTATCTGGCTTCTGTAATGCTTTGGCCTATTGTGTGTTTTTTAATCTTTATTGTTGAAAGTATTACATAGGTCCCTCTTTTTCCCCATTGATCCCTTCTAGCGTGCACCTCCCCCTCCCCCAGGCCTTCACCACATGTCTGTGTCTACTGGTTACACATATATGCAGACAAGTTATTTGGTCAATCCTTTCCCATCCACCCACCTCCACCTTCCTCTGATATTCTATAGTTTATTCTGTTTACATGTTTCTGGATATATTTTGTTCATCAGTTTATTATGTTCTTTAGATTCCACATATGAGTGAGATCATGTGATACTTGTCTTTCTCTGTCATATTGTGTGCTTTTAAAATATATTTTTATTGATTTCAGATAGGAAAAGAGAAGGAGAGATAAAAACATCAATGATGAGAGAGAATATTGATTGGGTGCTTCCTGCATGCCCCCACTAGGGATTAAACCCATAACCCAGGCATGTGACATTGACTGGAATCAAACCCAGGACCCTTCAGTCTGCAGGCTGATGCTCTATTTACTGTGCCAAACTGGCTAGGGTTGTCCCATTGTATTTTGAGAAGGAGCCACATTCTTCATCTCTTCCTCTTCCTTTCAATGTCTCCCCTCTTCCAGCCCTCTCCTGCTCTGGGATTCACTAAACCTGTCCTCTTCAAGGTCAAAGATCACATCTATTTCTCTTTCTCAGAGAGGCAGACTTTCCCTGACCACCCTCTATATAAACTCATCTAATATACATATACTATGCATGTTGCTTATTTGCTTTCTGTATTGTCTGTCTCCTTCCACTAGGATAGAGTTTCATGAGGCAGGAATTGGTATCCATTTTGTTCATCACTTGATACTGAGCATATAGACCAGTGCCCAGCATATGGTAGTTACTCAGAGAATATATTCAGTTAACAAGAAAACAAATCACCCTGGAACTCCTGGTATCTTCTCTGGTCACTCCTCATCTCCTGCCATGTCCCATTCTGCCTCAACTTGCTCCCATTATGTTAACCTTCTAAAGGCTCCATCATTAGTGGTTTGTTTTTCTCATTATAATCCTCTTATGCATCACATGGGCAAGGTTGTTTTAAGGTTCATTTATAGATCAATATAATAATGTACATAAGGAATCTGTAGCAGGCCATGACACACTAGGCTAAATACGTATCTTTTAGAAACATACAAAATGTAGGAATCTGATATATACTCTCCAGGAGTGTAAAGATGATATGCAAATGACCTCTGTAACCATTTGATAATGACTTCAGGATCTTGTGTTGTACTGAGTTGTTCCTCTGGGTTACAGCGCACCATGGCCTCTGAATGTATCCTGATGGACCCCATCTGTCTGGTGGAAAATCAGAATAATCAGCTGACAGTAAACCCAATAGCACTGGAGATTCTAGACAAGATCTCTCAGCCTGTGGTGGTGGTGGCTATTGCAGGTCTGTATCGGACAGGAAAATCCTACCTGATGAACCGCCTGGCAGGACAGAACCAGGGTGAGTATTGTTTTGGGGCAGCGCCATTTGCTTGGAGACAGTGATAACAGAGGCTGATCATGCCTCTCTCGTGGTCATCCTTAAAAAAGGCCTAATTCCTCCCAGTGAAGAAAACTTTTAAGTTTAATTGCTAGATTTATAACTTCAACCACATCTGTCCACAAAATGTCACTCGTTTCTTCAGTAATAAAGAGTTCCCTATCAAAGATGCACCCATTAGTCAGCTCAGCTCCAGAAAGTATTCCCTTCCTTTCTCTTACATTACTTCTGCTCTAAACTCTAGCATACAAATATTGTTCAATAGTTGCTTTTTTTAAAAAAGGGATAGGAAGTAAACAAATAGTAGTGTATTCTGTATTCCCATATTTCAATGGGGCTACCATCCAATTGTTTGCTTCATTTCATAGCAAAACTTTGATGAATTAGAGCCTTCTCTCTCTCTTTCTCGCTCTCTCTCTCTCTCTCTCTCTCTGAACTCTCTTTCTTTGTTGACAACTTGTTTTACCTCCCAAAGCTGAGACCAATGACCTCCAATTATACCCTGCCTTTCTTTGCTGGGGTAATGGGAACTTCAGATTACTATGGATTAGTCAGAAAGCAACCAAACACTATCACATGTAGAAGAATGCAGACCACCTCAGGCTTTATATCCTATCTGTCTAGGGAATATAATCTGGATGTAGAAATTGAATGGCTTCAGGCATGCTGACTCAACCTCCCCTAGGTATTTTATTGGTTTATTTCCATTCTTCATTGAAGGAGACATTGGAAGATGGCAGAGGGTCAAATTCCTGGACTGTGGGACAAGATATGTCATCAGTGGGTTCCTTAGCATATACCTCACACCCTCTCCCACTGTGTGTTTAATTTCTGCCTTTGGAAAGAGGATCTAGGAAATCTCACAGGTTCTTTCTATTTTCCCCTCCATTTTGTCATCAAGTGAAGCAGTGAGCAAAGAACTCATCATTTTTTAGAAGAGAAAAAAAAATTGAGGAAAATACAGGGATGAAGGGGAGGTAAAAATCCAATAAAAGCTGCTGTATTATCCAGGTCCTGGCAGGACTCAGATGACTTACTTGGGGGTACTGATGAGCATTTAATGAGGGATGATTTACAACGGCATAACCACAGCACAAAGAACCAATGTGGGATGAGGATGCATACACAGAGTGGCAATAGCAATGGCCAGGTAGACTCTAAAACTACTATTGCAGATGTGGCAAGCAAAAGTGGTTAACAGAATGTGGCAAAGACCAGAGATATGGCATGGAAGGGGGAGTGGCCGAAGGTAAAGGAACAGAGGCACTAGGACACCATGGCTCACTAGGAGGAAATTGAGGAGAACGCATGTCTGACCTCTGATCTCCTTTTGATGCCTCCCACTGGTTGAAATCCACCAGAACCTGAAGGACAAGGGAGCTCTTCAGTGTCAGAAAATAATATAAAAGTCAAGCCATGGCTGGGGGGGGGGGGGGGGGGGGCGCAGTTGGTTGGAGCATTGTCCTGTACACCAAAAGGTCACAGGTTTGATTCTGGGTGAGGGTACATACCTAGGTTGCAGGTTCAGTCCCAGGTTGGAGCGTGTACAAGGGGCAGCAAATCAATGTTTCCCTCTCTCATGTCAAATTTTATCTCTCAATCTATCTACCTGCCTATCTATCTCCCTTCCTCACTCTAAAATCAATAAACATGTCCTTGGATGAAGAATATATATATATCAGTAGAGGTTATATTAATTCTGTAATGTTACATAGCTTGAACTATTACTGATAGTATGAGGTAAATAGAGGACATAAAGTGTTTCTTGAGAAGGTTCTTAATATGTATAAATATTTGGATAGGCTGTTCTTGATGAAATGAAAGCAACCTTTCTCCCAGCCTGGCACTCACATTCTGACAAGTTTAACCAATGTAACCTATGGGCAGCCTGGACTATCTGCTGTTACTCTATACGCTTTCTCCTCTTTCTTTGCAGGTTTTCCTCTGGGCTCCACAGTGCAGTCTGAAACCAAAGGCATCTGGATGTGGTGTGTACCCCACCCTTCCAAGCCCAACCACACTCTGGTCCTTCTGGACACTGAGGGCCTGGGCCATGTGGAAAAGGTAAGGCAAAGAATTTTTTGTTCTTGATACTCCACTTACATTTTAATTTGCCACCTCAACTTTCACGATGTATTTCTCTAAGCTACAAATTCATTTAGGAATAATGAAGCAAACTTCTATTTTGTAGAACTTACTTTCTTGGTAAACTCAATACTTTGATTAAGAATAGATATTTTTATTTTTACACTGGGGCAACAAGTACAAGTTAAATACTTATTGGACAGCTGCATTCAGGGATTTGTGTTATGTACTACATATATGGCAGTGAATGAAGCAAAGACCAAGAGCATAGTTGAGAATTAAGTAATATGCAGTGCTATCAGGGATATAAAAATTGGGATCCTAACCCAGTCATTCCCAGAGGAAACTATAATCCATGGGACCTACTAGTTAAGTTGTAAGAGATTAATGGGGTTGGAGGTAGGACCCATTAAAATGGGTTACAGTGAAATAATCTACTTAAAAATCTCCAGAAAAGCTTCAGCTACCAGGAGTATGTATTCGTTAAAGATGAATTTTGAACTGACTTCTCTAAAAACACGAATTAGACCTACCAAAAGCACTATTATGGGATAATATAAGTATTTTGTATTTATAGTGTGACTTGCAATTCAATATTTTCTCCTTATTTATGTTAGCATGAGTCAAAGTTGAAAGTAGCACTAATGCACCTTTGGTTTCCATTACTGAGAAGGGAAAAAAAAAAGATGTGGAGGGAGAATGAATTTAGAAAATCTAAATTTAAAAAGCCTCTAGTTCTGTGGATAGTTTTCTTTCCTCAAGGGCTAACAGTCCTGCCCCTCTGGTTTACATAAGCATATTTCTAATTTACTATAATTTTATTGGTGAGCTCACTGACTCACTCAGTCCTACAACACTGGGGAAGGCTTGATCCAGTCCATCTTTCATGATGGCTTCTGCAGTTCAGGTAAAAAGCTACAGTGACCACATTTCAAATGTGTTAGCTCTTGCCATCTGGGGTGATTTTCTTGGTGTGATTTACAAAGTGCTGTCAGTAAAGGAGCGCTTGAGTTGAAGAGGAATCTGATTCAAGGACACATCCTGTGTAACTTAAGCTTTGACCAATAAATACTTTATTGATCTCTACTTCCCAGTATAGTAAGTACTTGAGTCCGTCATCCATGTACTGGGAATTAGGTGAGAAAAACCTTTGATTTAAGCTGGCTGGGTTACTAATCTTGGATTGTAAGAGATGGTTTTGAGTGTACAATTTATAATATACAAACCTAACTTTTAAAACAGTTTTTGAACTAGGCAGTTGTAGTTGTAGCTCACTACCCTTGTTCTGTTAATTTTAAAGGAAGTAGTAGACCTGGGGAAATCCAAATTTGATGTATTACTACAGAGTTAGAAGAGGGTACAAGGGCACTCTTTGACACCAAGTTCTTTTGATAAATGAGGTTTTATCACATTTCTTCAAGAACTACAGTTTTCAATTGTGCATTCCAATTCCCCACATACTAAATGCTGAATAGTTTTTAAACAAGCTCTTCACTGACATATTTCTTATGGCCTTCTATGTTCCAGGTTTGCTTATAAATGAGAGCCCTCCTTTGCATTATAAAACAACAATATTTGCCATGTTATTTTCCCAAAGTAATCCAGTGAAACTACAAAATGGTACTGGAAAATATTCAGTAGGTCAAGGAAAAAAATGACAAAAGGTTTTACTCAAATGTTTTAATCACATTTAGCATTGACATCCCTTTGAAGAAACATGAAATTTGTTTTATACCTAAATGATGAAGATTTTTGGTTTTTAAAAAATAGATAATATTTAAAACTAGAGGCCTGGTGCATGAAATGTATGCACTTGGGCGGGGGGAAGGGGGCAGGGTGGTGTTCCTCAGCCTGGCCTGCACCCTCTTGCAGTCTGGGAGCCCTTGGGGGATGTCCAACTGACAGCTTAGACCCAGAAGTGAGCCTAAGCTGGCAGTCAGGCATCCTTAGTGTTGCCATGAAAGTGGGAATGCTCCCGCCACCGCCACTGTGCTCACCAGCCATGAACCCACCTACTGGCTGAGCAACGCTCCCCTTGTTGGAGTGCACTGACCACCAGGGGGCAGCTCCTGCATTGAGCATCTTCCCCCTTGGTGGTCAGTGTGTGTCATAGCAACCGGTCATTCCACTGTTTGGTCGATTTGCATATTAGCCTTTTATTATATAGGATGGCATTATGATAATTCTGTACATGAACTTGTACTTTTAACAGATCTGGATTGTTATCCTTGGCTTACTGTGTAACTAGTATTGTATAGTTCACCTATGACTTTGAATAACTAAGGGTTCCATTAAGTTAGCATTTTATTTGGTTTAAAAAAAATTAGCCAGTCTCTGTTTTTCTTCCATGCTTAATTAGAAGTGAAGGGTAGAGGCCCTCCAGAGTCAGCAGTTCATTTAAAGGTCCCTTTCTTAAAGGATGTCTCATGCTCTCAGGTTTTTCATGCATTTATTTTTAAGTACCTCTCAGTCACTTGAGGTGAAATGCTTGGAGTAGCTTTTCCACATTGGAGTTCCTCAAACTTAAAGTTTTTACTAGTTCCTAGTGTTTGGAACACTAAGGCTGTTGCAGAGAGAGTACAATTCGTACATCGCAAGCCCGAGAAGGCTTCATGGTTTCCGACTGAAACACAAGTCAGCTTTTGTAGCTTAAGGTTTCATTTCCCACCATTGCTCCACTTGTTTTAGATCACTTATTACACTGGGCTCCCTTCCGGTTTTATTTTCGTTGTTGTTTATGTGATGAAAAACATAATCCTGTAATTTGACCTGAGCCATAATCCACAATTTAATATTAGCTCGTCTTATAGCTATCAAGCTTGTTTTGTGGGGAAAAAAAAACAAACAGACAGACTAAAACCTAAGTAAGTCTAGATTTAGCTAGTTTAGGTGTAATTTGAATGTTAATGATGGATTATATTGTAAGATGAGAGATAAATTGGGAAAATGTGCCTGTTGAGGGAAAGATCAGTGCATTTATACACTTAAACTTTTCATTGCTGTGTTTCCATCTTAGAATATAGGCATCATTAACAGTTTGGTTTTGGGAATGTTTCTTTCATTAAGTTTATAGTAAGTGTATTTTTTAAAAGAAAAACACACTAACATTTTTATTTTATTTTTACGTCTTTAAAGTAAAAGTTTTATTAAAATGGTAATTTTTTGCCATGGCTGATGTGACTCAGTGGTTAGAGCATTGGCCTGCACACTGAAGGATTGAGGTCTCAATTTCCTGTCAAGGGCATGTACCTGGGTTGCAAGCTCAATCCCAATGCTGATTAAGGTGGGAGCGGGTGGCAACCAATGGCTCTGTCTCTCTCACATCTGTGTCTCTCTCACATCTATGTCTCTCTCTCTCTCTCTTCCTCTCTCCCTCCTTCCCTCCCTCCATTTCACTCATTCCACTCTCTCTAAAAAATCAATGGGAAAAATATCCTCAAGTGAGCATTAGCCAAAAAAAGGACTTTTTTAATTTTTAGTTTTCATTTTATTTTCTAAAAATCAAAACAAACAAACAAAAACAATCGACACCTAAGTCCCCTACTGTAATGCACTTTCTAGGGCAACCTTAAGAATGACTTGTGGATCTTTGCCCTGGCCGTGCTTCTGAGCAGCATGTTTGTCTACAACAGCATGGGCAGCATCAACCACCAGGCCCTGGAGCAGCTGCAGTATCCTTCCAGGAAACAAACCTCCATGTGCCATGGAGGCTATGGGAAAATAACTGAGACTATTTTTGACATTGTGGTTTCCTCATGTCAATCATCATGGTTGAAGTAAAAAGAACACAGGATTAATAGGAATTTTAATAAAAATTGTTTCTGGGTGAGATCTAGAAATTTTGGTGGGGAACATTTCTCATTCCTTAACTAAGATCCCAGCTATGTGACTGAACTAACAAAGCTAATCAGGACAAAGTCATCTCCTAGCTCTGGTGAAGTAGATGACTCAGCCGAGTTTGCAAGTTTCTTTCCAGACTTTGTTTGGGTTGTACGGGATTTCACGCTGGACTTGAAGTTAGATGGACGCACCATCACTGAAGATGAGTACCTGGAGAATGCCTTGAAGTTGGTTCCAGGTAACAATCAGAGGATGGTCTGAGTGGCAGAGGGTTTAGTGGGAGGTGTGATTAACTGAGCCCTGTTTCTCAGCACTTAAGGTCAATCTTTATTTTTTATCAATTGAAGCCCGTGCTAATGGTGATATGTGTATGACAGGTGGGTATGGTTTCAGTTGTTATTATTACTGAAAAATACTCAAGTGACAAGAATTTAAGCTGGCTGAGAAAGTGTAGAATACATTGTTGGACAAAATGATTTTTTTTTAATTAAATCTTTATTGTTCAGATTATTACATTTGTTCCTCTTTTTTTCCCCCCCATAACTCCCCTCCTCCCAGTTCCCGCCCCACCCTCCACCCTCACTCCCCACCCACTGTCCTCATCCATAGGTGCACAATTTTTGTCCAGTCTCTTCCCGCATCTCCCATACCCCTTTCCCCCCCAGGAATAGTCAGTCCATTCCCTTTCTATGTCCCTGATTCTATTATAATCAACAGTTCATTCTGCTCATCAGATTATTTATTCACTTGATTCTTAGATTCACTTGTTGATAGATGCATATTTGTTGTTCATAATTTGTATCTTTACCTTTTTCTTCCTCTTCCTCTTCCTCTTCTTAAAGGATACCTTTCAGCATTTGATATAATACTGGTTTGGTGGTGATGAACTCCTTTAGCTTTTCCTTATCTGTGAAGCTCTTTATCTGACCTTCAATTCTGAATGATAGCTTTGCTGGATAAAGTAATCTTGGTTGTAGGTTCTTGGTATTCATCACTTTGAATATTTCTTGCCACTCCCTTCTGGCCTGCAAAGTTTCTGTTGAGAAATCAGCTGACAGTCGTATGGGTATTCCCTTGTAGGTAACTGAGTTTCTTTCTCTTGCTGTTTTTAAGATTCTCTCTTTATCTTTTGCTCTTGGCATTTTAATTATGATGTGTCTTGGTGTGGTCCTCTTTGGATTCCTTTTGTTTGGGGTTCTCCGCGCTTCTTGGACCTGTAAGTCCATTTCTTTCACCAGGTGGGGGAAGTTTTCTGTCATTATTTCTTCAAATAGGTTTTCAATATCTTGGTCTCTCTCATCTTCTGGCACCCCTATAATTCTGATGTTGGTACGCTTGAAGCTGTCCCAGAGGCTCCTTACACTATCCTCGCATTTTTGGAATCTTTTTTCATTTTGCTTTTCCGGTTGGGTGTTTTTTGCTTCCTCGCATTTCAAATCATTGACTTGATTCTTGCGCTCCTCTGGTCTGCTGTCGGGAGTCTGTATAATATTCGTTATTTCAGTCCGTGTATGCTTAATTTCTAGTTGGTTCCCCAATATAAGATCGAGGGTCTCATTAGTTTTCTTGTAGATCTCATTAAGTTTATCGGCGGCTTCTAAACAGTTCTTGAGAGACCTTAAAAGTGTGGTTCTGAACTCTATATCTTCCATTGACAATTTTGTCCTGTTTCTTTGTCTCCGCATTTTGTTATGCTTCCTTGGTGCACCCCCTAGTGGTCTTTGTTCGCAGTCTTGTAGTTAAGCCTTGATTGTTGTAGCTAATACCAGGGAGGGTTTGATCTCCAGGCCAAGTGGCTGTGAGAATCAGCTGTGTCTGCAGTGAGAGAACTTCTGTCCTCTAGGGAGGTGCTAATCTAGCCTTTGCCTGAGGCTATCCGGCAAATGCCTGTGTGCAGGGCTTGGGCGGGGCGGGTCGCACAGGATCAACAGGGTGGGCCGGAGAGAGCAGTTATGGCGGCTCTCAGTCCTGTCCCCAGGGGCTCTGCCTCTCTGAGTCCCAGCACCCGCTGCAAAGCTCAGAGAGAAAGCTGCACTCGGTCTGACCGAAGCCAGACAGTCCCGCTTCTCCCGTTTGAGTCTGGGTCCCTAAAGACTCGCCCGGATCTGGAGCTCAGAGTCTGTGACTCCCTCCTGATTGAAAACGCCAACCGCGCCCTTAGCCGCCAGCCCGCTCCGCGCACTCCGCACCTCAGAATTTGACTTTAGCACTGCCTCCTCTGAGTGTCCGTATGCGTTTCTCTTTCCTCCTAGTTGTAGGACTTCCACTCAGCCAGCGTTCCTGTGGTTCTGAGTGATGTCCCTTCCATTTTTTGGTTTCACTTTTGAAGTAGTTGTTCAAGGCAGCAAACTCCGGCGTTAACCTATGCTGCCATCTTGGTTCTCCCCTCTGGACAAAATGATTTTAGAAAAATTGACACCATGAAAAATAACTTAGAGGATTATAACCAGTGCTAAAACTTTTTAAGACTAAAATATTTGTGTTACTTACTAAGTTCAGAGCTCATCTACTAGTATTTCTATTTAGCAAAAAATGCTCATTAGTATGAAAGATTATAAACACAGAATCACAAACATATCAGATGACTTTATTTTTGAAATACATTTCATGTTGTGTATTTTAATAGCTTGCATGATTACATTCTCCATATAAAGGATATTTATATGAATGTTCCCCCCCCCCAAAAAAAATCATTGACATGTCATTTCTATAAGACTTTCAAATCCTTTGTTATTTGTTTTTCATAACATCGCTCTCTTCATTCTATAGCCTCATACAATATTTTGAAATATTAAACTCCTAACACTGAGTACATTTAGCAGGGAGAATAATAGGTAATACTTAAGAACAGATTCATTTTTGCTTATTTAATAATTTATTTATTCATTCAAGAATCATTTATTAAATAGCTGATATATGCCTAGAATAACACTGTGTGACATTGTCACATTCAATATAAACAGATACAGGAAACAGGTGAGGTCTTCAAGTGGCATTAGGTTAACATTACTTTTTGATGATGTCTGCTAAAAAAATCTATGAATGTATCTATATTGCTTGTATTTTTTTTAACTCTTATTTTTAGTAGTTTTTCTTTACTGTTCTGAGTATTGTCTATCCTTCACATGAAACTTTTCCCAGAAGTATCATAAATATCCTTATTTCTACCAGAAAACAATTCACTGTTACTTTTGGGCCCACATTTTATTTCTGGCATGAGGACTATAATACCAAAAGTATTTCTGACCATTTAGGAGATTAATCTATCATTCAAAAATAATAAGCAGTTAAACCATTGGACACCATGGAAGGGCTAAGGAAAATAACCATAAGTTTCTTCACTTGGGATAGATGCCTTCCTCCTGTCTTCTCCAGAAGTACTTTCTATGCTCCTGGCTCTGGAAATAATAAATAAACAAACAAAAAAATAAATAAATAAGTAAATAAATAATAAATAAATGTAAAATTTCTATGCTTTGGTAGATTATTAGCATTAGGGTGATTTGCATGATTAAATAAAAGGAGACTTACAGGAACCAGTGTTACAGTGATGCAAAAATCCCTGGAAATGAATGTTTTCATCTCCTTGCCTGAAGACTGCCTCATCAGTGATTAGTGTTTTTCTTTTTTTAGGCGAGGATCCCCAAACCCAGAAATCCAACATGCCTAGAGAGTATATCAGGAAGTTCTTTCCAAGGCGGAAGTGCTTTGTCTTTGACCAGCCTACAAATGACAAAAAAGTATTACACTATATGGAGGAGATGTCAGAAAGCCAACTAGAATGGAATTTTCAGGAGCAATCCAAAAATTTCTGTCAATATATCCTTACACATGCAAAAACAAAGACTCTAAGAGAAGAAATCATTGTCACTGGAATCGGTGAGTAGGTTGTTACAGCAAGTTTCTCAGCAGTTCAGTGTGTGTGACTGTACTTTGAATTTGTTGGTAATTTTGTTTCCTTCTCTATGTGATGTGGAAAACCAGACATTCATGCCACATATAGACATGCATGTCTTTTCATTAAAGTTACCCTATATGAGGGATTATTAAAGCCTACTGTATCTCATGGAATTAATACCCTAATGACATAAGCACAAGCTACTGTTAAGGAGAGGAATCTGCATGATGATGATAAGACCAATGAGATGGGTGTGTCTTGTTGAGGATACACAAGATATTTTGAGAATTTACACCAGTAAGAAAAAATATATAACAGAGCATAAGCCTCTGAAATCTCATTAGCGTTTGAGGTGAAATTTTTACTATAGCCTTATGTGCAGGCTAGATTCACAGATATGCCAACTGGGCAGACACACAGTGCCCTATGCTGAGATGGTCCCAGGCTTGGTTTAATGTTTGTGTCACTGTCCTGAAATTCTTGATTTTTTTTTAAAGGGGCCCCACATTCAGTTTGAAATAGTGCCCTTTACTTACTTATAACATAAACTCATTTTATAACTTCAATGGGAAATTATTCTAGGAAATTCTTGAATGTGTTGGATGAGATTATTTTCATACTAGAATGTGATGAATCCACAAATCAAAAAAAGAGTGAATAGAATAAACAATAATGTCATTATTAGAAAGTAGACACATAAAAGTAAAAGGAGGAATGTGGGGAGAGAAAAAGAAAAAAGAACCCTTCATCTCAATAAAATTGCTGGGATTTTTAGAATGCTGATCTTGAACGCTTGTAAAACAGTGAGTGAGAATTCATTTTAATTTCTTAAATATAATGTGTCATTCAGGGCTGGGGACTCTGGCAAAAGCCTATGTGGATGCTATCAACAGTGGAGCAGTGCCTTGTTTGGAGAACACAGTGACAACTCTGGCTGAGCAAGAGAACTCAGTGGCTCTACAGATGGCAACCGACCACTACAGTGAGCAGATGGCCCAGAGGGTGAGCTTCCCCACAGACACGCTGCAGGAGCTGCTGGACCTGCACACAACCTCTGAGAGGGAAGCCATTGCAATCTTCATGGAGCACTCCTTCAAGGATGACAACCAGGTGTTCCAGAAGAAGCTTATGGTAAGATATCTTAGCATACATCCTCCCTGAAAACTGCCCTTCTATAGTGATGCCTACATTCCCTTTTTGTGACTCCCGAGTTCACGTGTTTCTAACTGTAGAATGAGCCTGGATTGTTGTGAGTGACTGACCTCTATATAGAATACTGTACACGCTTTTTCTAAAAAATTATTTTTTTATGTTCTATTGTTGCAAAACACATAGTTCTTCAGGTCAGATTCCAGAACAAGATATGGGTGCCCTGATAAGTGTACCACATGCTGAAAACAAGGTTCAAATGGGTTTATATGATCAAATGAAGGTTCTGGGAAACTCCCCCCATCTTCAAGCCAGCAATGATTCATCATATCTTTTTGTATTGTTTCTAATTTCTGTGACTACCTACTCTGCCATCAACTGGAGAAATCTTCTTTTAAAGGGCTCATGTAGTTAGGTAATGCCCACCAGAAATTTTCCATCTTAAAGTCAAGCTGGGCTGTATAACATAATCTAATCATAGGATTAATACTCACCATACCCATGGGTCCAAGGAGTATGTAGGGAGTGGACACCAGGGGAGAGAACTCTTAGAAGACATCAAAATTCTACTCACTATCAGAACCTTCACTGAAAGTTTGTCTTTGAGTGTGCCTTTGACTATTTTATAGGTTACAAAAACCTCTCAGTTCATATAGAATAAAACCAACTTCTTTAAAATGTCAAAGTCCAGCAAATACATTTTCTTTCTATATTTTTGCACGACCAAACCCTCATTGAAAAAAATTTTGAGTTGCTTAAAACTCTGTTCAGAGACTGTTGAACTCATTAGTGGGCAATTTATTTGCGTTGTATATATTTTATCCATAGCAACCCAAGTTTGTAGAGGAAAGTCATATTGAACTCTCCATTGCTCATTGTTGGTCAACCCTACTACTGATAAAGGAACCATGCATAAAACTGGGGTGCATATTTGAATGATAATAAGGAGTAAATCCTACAACTTCACATCCAAAGAAAAATAAATGTTTATAACTATACTAGTGGCCCAGTGCATGAATTTGTGCACATTGAAAGAAAATTAATTAGAAGAAATAAATCAGTATTCGCCCTTTCTCTATAATAGATGTGTCAACCAAATTCATGATCAACAGTGACAGAGCAAAACACACACATGTGATTGATTGGCACCAGCAAGAGCTTTATATGTATCGCACATGTGCAAGTCAACTTGACCATATATATGTATATAGTGTTTAATTAGACCTGCTTTCTGATGTAGCTAAATTTTTTCCAGCCCAGTGAAGCTCCCCAACTTCTCTTTCAGGTAATTGTCAGCAACACAGCAGTAAATATCAACATGAAGTAGATTATTGTTGTAGATTTTGCAGGGAGAACAAAGGGTAAGGAAATGATTTAACTGCAGCAGTGTTCTGTGCAGTGAGAAAACCTGAAGTCATTTTCAAGGTCCACCATTTCTTACTTCTTTTCAGTTGGGTCAAGTTACTAAGCTTTCTAAATTTCCATTTTCTGGCTAATGAAAAGAAAATAGGATTCCACCAAGTCTCCTATCTACCTACTATAGGACTTCTGGGTGGATCAAATTAAATAAAGCATGGGAAAACACTTCACAGACATTTCTTTAAAGTGTAAAATGTTTCCACCTAGCTGTAAAGCCTGGGCTGAAGAAACTGCATGGAGATTAGTCGTTGCTAGGGAGAGGAAGCCGGGTATTGCTAAGTGATGTCGTTACCTGGATGGACACTTAGCATATTAGCCTTTTATATAAATAGATAAAGCGAGGATGTTAATGACTTATTGTGGTGATCACTTCACAATGTATACAAATAATGATTCACTAATTTGCATACCTAAAACTATTATAATGTCATGTGTCAATTATATATCAATTTGGGGGGAAGCCACCATGTCTACTGACTTCATTATTTCACAGGGGTTGTACCTGAGCCAAAGTGAATAAGGGACTTTCCATATGATGCCTGGATTCCAATTCCCAGTCCACCCTGATGCCATCACACTGCTTCTTTTAGTTTTCTTTTTAATTTTTTCAATTACAGTTGACATACATTATATTAGTTTCAGGTATACAATACAGTGATTAGAAATTTATATAACTGACAGAGTTATCACCCCAATAAGTATAGTACCCTTCTAGCACCAAAGTTATTACAGTATTATTGGCTTTATTCCCAATGCTGTACTTTAAATCCCTGCGACTGTTTTTATAACTGATAATTTGTACTTCATAATCCCCTTTCCTATTTCCCCCATCACCCCAAACTGCTTCCCATCTGGCAATCACCAACTTGCTCTCTATATTTATAAGTTTGTTTCCATTATGTTTTTACATTTCCTTTGTTTTTTAGATTCTACATAAAGTGAAATCATATGGTACTTGTCTTTCTCTGTCTGCCTTCTTTCATTTATTATAATACCCTCTCAGTCCATCCATGTTGTCACAAATGGCAACATTTCATTCTTTTATATGGCTGAATAATATTCATTGTATGTATGTACCATTTCTATGCCAATTACCTATTGATAGACACTTAAATTACTTTAATATCTAGGCTACTGTAAATAATCCTGCAATAATGTGGGGTGCATATATCTTTTCAAATTAGTGTTCTGGATGTCTTCAGATAAATTACCAGCAGTTGAATTCCTGGGTCATGCAGAAGTTCTATTTTTAATTGTTTGAAGAGTCTCTGCACTGTTTTCCATGGTGGCTGCACCCACTTAAAATCCTACCAACAGTGCATGATGGTTCCCTTTTCTCCACGTCCTTGCCAACACTTGTTTGTTGATTCATTGATGATAGCCATTCTGACAGGTGTGAGGTGATATCTCATTGGGGTTCTAATTTGCATTTTCCTGATGACTAGTGATATTGAGCATCTTTTTATGTCTTTTGGTCCTCTTTGGAAAAGTGTCTATTCAGGTCCCCTTTCGATATATTAATTGGATGTGTGTGTGTGTGAGTGTGTGTGTGAAATTGTATGAGTTCCTTCAAAATTTTGTGTACTGACCCCTTATCAAATCTATTATGTGTTATTGGCAAATATCTTCTCCTGTTCACTAAGGTGTTTTGTTCATTTTTGTAGATGGTTTTAAACAATTTAGTTTGATGTATACACATTTCTCTTTTTTTTTGTTTTGTTTTCCCTGCTTAAAGAGACATATGCAAAAATACATATATTACTAAGAGTGATGTCAAAGACTTTACTGCCTATGATTTCTTTTAGGTTTCATGTCTTACATTTTAGTCGGTAATCCATTTTGTGTTCATTTTTTTGTATGGATCTGTTCAGTTTTCTTAATACTGTTTACTGAAGAGACTGTCTTTACCCCATTGCATATTCTTGCTTCCTTTTTCATACATTAATTGACCCATATAGGGGGAGGTTTATATCTGGTATCTCTATTTTCTTCCATTGACCTTATGTGTCTGTTTTTATGTCTGTACCATGCTGTTTGGGTTACTATAATTTACTGTATAGTTTCATATCAAGTAGCATGATATGAAACTTTTGTTCTTCTTTCTTAAGATTGCTTTGCCTATTCAGGTCACTGCTTCTACCAGACTTAGAGTTGCTTGGCAAGAGGTACAGGGAATGCCAAGGCCAACCACTGCTTTGTGGGGGTTTCTAGGCCTTTCAAAGATTTTAAGACAGTGTCAGTGTGAGCTAAGGCTGGCCACTTGTGTGGAAAACCTACTGGAAGTAATTGGACCAGGTAAAAACTGGAGTAGTGTCTCAAGAAATTTCCATTGTAATCTGCATATATAAAAGCTCAGTGACTAAAGAGTAGAATGACCATAATGACCAGAACGACTAGTTGCTATGAGTTCCACTGCAGCAGCCAACTGGCCCTATCTAGGACCTGATCAGCCTCCCCAACTGCCTGTGACCACTCTCCCTGGCCACCCTGCCCCTGATCAGGCCCCTCATCACCAATTAGGGGAGGGGCTGTCTGGCCCCATCCTTGATTGCCCCCCCCCAACCCAATCAGGGACCAGGCTGGCCGGCCAACTGCCTGCAGCCCCTTCCCCTGGCTGGCAAACCTCCTGGGGTCCCTCCCCCCAGGGCCAGCCCCTGCTAGGCCTTGATTGCTGGCCAGGCTGAGGAGCCCCACCTGTGTACAAATTCGTGCACTGGGCCTCTAGTATAAATTATGTTAGCCATGTTATTAGAGAGCTCAAATTTGGTGCCCACTTGTGCCTGCCATCTGGGTGGGGAGAGTGCTTATCAAAGGTGCCATGGGCACTTGCCCCCACTTTTCCCCAGAGAGAGCCACCCTGACCTCTGCCCCTGCACAATAGCCCTGACACTAGTCAATTACATTTCTCCCTGTATAGCCCTGGAGCCTTTCAAGGTGCTGCCCTTGCAAGACTAGGGCAAGTGAGTCATTTCCTAAGCCCCTCAAAGGGAACACCTGAGACTCCCAAAGCCCTCCTCATTCATTCACAATCCCTCCAGGTTTTCACAGACAGACATTGGAGGAATTTCTCTTTCTCGTACTGGTTTCTTGAAGTGGGAAACCAAGTGTGGGCTGGGACCCATCATTCCACAGGAGGACACTCAGCCACTGAGATATCCCTCCTATTCTTAATTGCTACACATAAGTGTGAGACCTGCGGGCTCCACATCTCTGGCCTCCTACCAGTTTTATTGTGGTGTCTCTTTATATTTTTCATTACAGAACTTCTTTTCAGCTAGTCTACAGATGGTTCTTGATGGTTGTTCTATAATTTAGTTGTAAATTTAATGTGGTCCTGGAAGAGATGAGCACAGCAGTTACCTACTTCACTATCTTGACCTCAAGTAAGACAGCTTCTTACAAAAAGATCACAGTTGGACCTTCCCTTCTAACAACTTCTCTCCTTTGGGTTTCTCCACATTTCCCTGCCAGGAAACCATAGCCATGAAGAAGGAATATTTCTTGCTGCAGAATGAAGAGGCATCTGGAAAATATTGCCAGGCCCAGCTTAAGCAGCTTTCAGAGCCCTTGATGGAAAGTATTTCAAGAGGGACTTTCACTGTGCCTGATGGATACAAGCTCTACTTAGAAGCAATAGACAAACTTGAACAGTCCTATAACATGGTGCCCAGGAAAGGAGTGAAGGTGAGATATAAAAAGAGGGGAGAAGGGTAGGGTTTTGGTGTCAGAGTGTCTTTGTGGACGCTTTCTTAAAATCTAAGACCCCACCACACCATTTATGGAGAAAAAGCAGAGCATGGAAAACCTACATTTTTGTCTTTTATATCCATAATAAGTTAGAGGCTTTTACATAAACCAGAAATATTTCTTCCTAAATATGGGATTTATTATTATCCCAAATCTAGATGAAATAAAACATTTGTTTTATTTAATAAACAGTGTAATAGTTTTGTGCTAAGTATAGGAGATATATAATTAAAGAAACAACATTCTCAAAAACCTTATGACCTTACTGAAAAGGGACATATAAATATTCAATTGGATATGATGGGATATGGTCATCATACAAGTATATACTGATAGTGATGCTGCTGCTGCTGATGATAATGATAGTGACACCTAACATATATTGAGCACTCACTTTCTATTACACATATCATCTTAGGTGCTATGTTTGGATTATCAATTTATTAGAATAATATCATCTCCATTATACACTTGAGGAATTAGATGCACTGAGAAGCTAATAAGTTACCCAAGAGCAGACAGACAGCAAGTGGTAGAGCTGGTAGACCAGGTCTGTGTACCTGGCAGCCATTCAAATCTCAGAAGGAAGTTTAGCAAAGCTTCCTGGAAGAGGAGGGAGAAGCTACAAGTTGAAGTATCAATACATGCTACCTGAGTAAAGAAAGGGTAGCTGAGCATTCAGTCAGAAGAAAAAGAATGTGCGGACATTGCAAACAATGCAGGATGAGTGTAGAACTGTATATAAGCCTGGATGTCTGTGACCTGGGGTGGATGGTGGCTGGCATATTAGGATAGGAAGCCGGAGAGATAGGAAAGAGGTTGCTATTGAGGGCTTTATTCTAACTGAAGAGGTTTGATTTTTTAATGGCTTTTTTAAAAAAATTTAAGAGAGAGAGACATCAGTTGGTTTCCTCCCACACATGCACGGACTGGGGATAGAACCCACAACCTGGGTATGTGTACTGACTGGGAATCAATCCCACAACCATTTGGAGTAAGAGCCAAAGCTCCAAACAACTGAACCATATGGGCCAGGGCTGGGTTTTTTATTGTGACTGTGGAAGAAAGGGGACCACTGTGGGATCCTAAGAATGATGAAGAATTTACAGGGTCAAGTTTGTAGTTTTATTGAACAAGACTCCTTGCTCCTCCTTTTTTTTTTTTTTTTTTTTTTTTTCAGGCACATGAGGTCCTCCAGAGTTTTATACAATCACAGGCTGCAACAAAGGAATCCATCCTGCAGGCAGACAAAGCTCTCACTGATGGGGAGAAGGCTCTAGCAGGTATAGGACAGGGCTCTGATCACAGAGGGGAGGGGAGGTTCCTGCAGTGCCTGCAACAGGTGTGAGAGCAAAACCCTCCTGAAACAAGGCGCTTCTGGTCCTGTTAAACAAGTCAACTAAACTGAAACTAACCCGGGGGTTCTGGTAGCTCAATCAGCCAATTAATGCCTTTCTATCACATTCTCCTTACCATTTTAAAATCCCTTTAGTCTCTGAGCTCAGGAGGGCACAGCTGACATAAATTATTTTCTTTCCTCTGTGAAACCCACGGGGAACAGCTGAGCATGCCAAGAATTGGGAAGCTGAGAAGGAATAGGAGCTACTAAGACAGAAACAGAAGGAACAGCAGGAAAAAATGAATGCTCAAGATAAAAGCTTCCAGGAACACCTAGTCCAACTGAATGAGAAGATTAGGAGACAAAGTGAAAGCCGCCTGAAGGAGCAGGAAAGGATGCTGGAGCACAAGCAGAAGGTAAGTCCGGGTGCGGTCTGGGCAGTGGATAGAGGACAATCAATAACCTGGGTCCTCGTGAAGGGGAGGACAAAACATTTAACTGAAGTCATAAACCCTGAAGGAAACCCAAAGGCATATGAGTCAGGGAAATGCCAAATTAATCGGGTCATTCTAAAGCCCTAAATCTATGATTCGGCACCTTCTGTGGCATGAGAGTCTGCAGGGTGCAAATGACATGTTCCAGACTCCTGAACTGGCTCATTGTGCCCCCGAGTGAATAGGACCTTAGTCCTGTAGGCTTTAGGATGTTTGCTACAACCATCAAAGAGACTTCATGTAGATCCATCTGGTGGAAGATGTCAGATTGTGCCTGATATGCTAGATAGGATGCAGAAAGCTCTAATGTTTGCTGCATTCGTTTCCAGATCTGCCTGATTTATTCTCTGCACCCAGAGTAAAATGCATGCTCTGTCGTAATCAGGAGTTTGATAAACAGTGTACTATAGAGAGTCAGAAATTCCCATTATGTGTTGCATGTGTTACATGAGTGTAGTCATCCTACTTCAGTGGAATCAAGAAATCATTTGAATTGAACCTCCAACCTTCCCAAAGAACATCCTCAGGGCTGGAACAGTTCTCAAGCATAGTTGTCAGGCCTGACCCAACTCAGCTCTTCCCCACCACAGTGAAATCACCCTGAGGGATCTTAGAAAGGCTTAAAGAATGGATACTCCCACTATGAGGCCCAAATATTTGGAAATTTTTGGTCAAATGTATCAAAGAGCATCTAAGTTAGTAGAAAAATAGAACATGTGCTTAGCTGTTACAGTTGTTAAAAACAAAGTGCTGCTAATTGGGATTTTCAAAAGGGAATTCTCTCCTCTTCTACAGATTCAAGAAGAACTACTTATTGAGGGATTTGAAAACGAATCTGAGAAGATGAGGAAAGAGATAAATCAATTAAAAGAAGAGATTCAAGAAACTGAAAACATCTGGCCTTCAATATTTGTAGAGCTCTTTTATATGGCAGCCAGCGTACTACTCGAGCACTCCCTGGTCCAATGAAGAAAATAGGCCAGTTTTCTTTTTTAGACAGGCTGAGAATGTTTAGGAGAGATATTATACAGGGCTCCTTATGTTATAATAGCATAACACTGTGGCTCATTTTATTAGTATGTGTGCCATGGTAGTTTTGCCCAAGAAAAGTTTACAAATAAAGAGTGATTACCAAAAAATACCAGGGTCTGATGTACAAAACAAAACAAGCTCACTTTTGATTGAATTAATTAATTTAAAGAAATGAGAAACAAGTTAAAGGATGATTTTTTCATAGTAAATGTTTAAGTAAGGCAGAAAGACAAATGGTGTGATGAGGAACATATTGGCAATCTGTATAATTATTATTTCTTTTATTTCTTCAGCTATAATGATCCTTATGAATGTGAGAGCAAAGAGCAACAAAGATATTTTTTAAATGGGCAAAAGTATAAGAAATAAAACATTTAACTTTACTGATTATAAAGATATGCAAAGTAAAAGTAGAAGGTACTTGTGTCATCTGTCAGAAGGACATTTTGATAGGACATTAGGTTGGCAAAGGTTTCGGGAACCTGGCAGTCTCTCCTATTTGCTAGGGACCATGCAAACTGTGGCCAATACGCATCAAAATTTTAAGTGCTCAACAGAAAGAGTGTACTTATTACAGCAAGAAGCAGAAGTTACAAGATGTGCATCTTAACTTTGTTGTCCTTTGGGCCTCACAATAGGTCCTGGAATTTCTCCCTAATTTATGTTCAGATATAAAGTCTACTGGGATGTCCATTGGAATCATCTCCAAGTTTCTGCCCCACATTTATAAAGATGGTGAATTAGAAGGAAAAAATTTTTTCAGGGTCAGCTCAATACTTTAAGAATTCTTTTCAGGGGTGTAGGGCGTAAGACCTTTGTGGTTAGAATGAACTGCTTGTAATTCCACACGCGGTATGTAGTCTCTTGACTCTGGGCCTTTGCACACAGGACACAGACTTCTTAAGGACCCGGCTGCTCATCCTGCTCCCTTTATTTGCCAGCTTCTGTCCCTCCTCACCACTGCTATTTCCTGGTTTCTGGAAATTGCATCAGGTTTCTCCTTTGGGGTAAACATTGTGCTGATCTCCCAGCTACCACAGCACTTTCATATAATTGCAAAATTAAAATGACCTGTTTACAGCTGTCTCCGCTACTACCTCATGATCTCATCTACTTGATAATCTTCATCATTGTATATTTGGCTCCCACCACATACACACCAGGTGTTTAAAAAATAGGAGTTATTCTATGAGCTGACATCCAACAGGGCCCCAAGCATTTTCTTACTATATTTACTGCTCTCTAGGTTCTCAGAATAAAAGACACAGCTTTAGGAACTAGTGAAGTATGGACTTAATGAGGCAGAAAGGATATGCACACCTGTCTGAACTTGCTGCCCTGCTCTCTCTGGGTTCTGGTTTCTTCAAGCTTCTCTCCCATGACAATTACCCAGCAATGAGGTCACCACCTTTGACTCAAAGTGCAATTATGACATTTAAAATAGTAAAGAAAGAGGCAGTATTTTGTAATCTCATTTGCACCATAATTCTTGTGTGCCTTTAAGGTGCTTCTGTTGAAACAAAACTATGCTTTTGTTATGAAGATCAATTTCTCATTGAATATGATGCCCACAGCTGGCAGAGGGATGGAATCTACAAGCACAGCTCTGCTTTCTTGAGGGTTGTGAGATCATGCTCAGTAGCCTTTCATTTTCCCCATTCAAAGCCACTGGAATCAGAAGCCCTGCACTGGATCCAGCTCCCAGACACATTGGTGTCACCATAGGAATGCTCTGAATGCTGCACATCTGGATGGTGGGTAAAAGGATAAGGGGCAGTGATGAGTTCTGCTTCCCGATCAAATCTCCCCAACACACATGACCAACAACACAAATTGTAAACAGTTAACAGGAGAATTGTGATATGAAATAATCCTACTTAGAAAAAGGAAGGATCAGAAGTGAGGTGAAGGACAGCAAAAGCAGAGAAGAAGAAATCTTTAAGCATAAGTCAAAAATTGGCATACCTTGGAATAAGTTTACACAAATCTTAAGAATAGGCTTCAGGGAAAGGCCTCTGCCATACTTGAAAATTAATAAGTAAGTGTTAAGTTATTGAAAAGATCAAAGTGATACCATTGTAATTAACTAGTTATTAATAATAGAAAAGGGGCAAAGGAAAGGGCAGATATTATAGGTATGTTCCCTGCAAAACATTCAGGGAAGGCGACTGAACAAAGGGAAAATGGACACATGCCCAGTGAAGTTAGGATGACATAGGAAAGGTACTTATCTGTCAGTCACACCTGGGAACAAAAGTCATTGGCCAGAATGGATGTGATGGTTGCAAGGGTGCAAAGATTTGGGATATATAACCCCCTAAACCAGAGGTTACTCAACCTGTGGGTCGAGACCCCTTTGGGGCTCGAATGACCCTTTCACAGGGGTAGCCTAAATACATCCTGCATATCAGATATTTACATTACGATTCATAACAGTGTCAAAATTACAGTTATGAAGTAGCAACGAAAATAATTTTATGGTTGGAGGTCACAACATGAGGAACTGTATTAAACAGTCTCGGCATTAGGAAGGTTGAGAACCACTGCTCTAAACAAAGGAGTTCTCTCTCTCTCATTCTCTCTTGGTTGCTCCTGGCACACTTGGCTCACGGCTTATGCTTGGCTTCCCAATATCTACTCACATGCCCCACTGCCAGGTGAACCCGCACACACAGTGGACTAATGGACTGCAGCTAACCTGATGCTGTACCGGGCCCTGCTCCAACATGGAACAGAAACTCTGGACACTGGCTTTGCTTCTAGCATGATGCTGTACTGAAACCCCATGTACACTTCTGACTGGACTAAGGGAAATGGGACTTTAGAAACACATGGATTTAATTCCAAGCAAATCATAATCACTTGTTCTTTGCAAGTCTCAGAAAATTCTTTTTCTCTGTATATCTTAAGAACTCTACCTCCAGCAGCACCCAGTGTGGAAGAGGAGCCCCCACTTGATCAGAAATCAAAAGATCCATACAAGAATGTTTTCAGCAATTTTGGGGGGAAGGCAGTTCACAGCCATGCTTTTCATTGTGAGAAGTGAGCCACTTTGTACATTTCTACATTCCTTTCACTAATTCCTCAGATGTGGCTATAGCCTGCCTCACTAGTGATCTCATCTCCTACTGCTGTTGTCTAGTCCTCACAGCATTTATTTATTATGGTAATTCTTCAGTGGTACAGAGGGGACAAGATGCAGGAACTCTTTAGAAATACAAATAATAATAATAATATCAATTGTAGGAGACTTTTCTCCTACAATATAGGAAAAAGCTTAACAAAGCAGGAGGACTGACAAAACAGTGCCAGATGCCTTCCTTTTCATTGTGTAGTCTCAGGTTAAATGCTGCCAATTATGACTATACTAGAGGCCTGGTGCACAGGATTAATGCATTGGTGGAGGCATTGCCTGTGGGGATTGGCCACTGTGGGAACGCTACTCATCACAGTCAATGGAGTGGCACTCCCCCTGTGGGAGCACACTTACCACCAGGAGGCATGTCACTGCGACCGGTCATTCCGCCATTTGGTCTATTTGCATATTAGGCTTTTATTATATAGGACTAGAGGCCCAGTGCACAAAAATATGTGTACTTGATGGGGGGGCGGCCCTCAGCCTGGCCTGTGCCCTCTTGCAGTCTGGGACTCCTCGGGGGATGTCCACCTGCTGGCTTAGGCCCGCTCCCTGGGGGGGATTGGGCCTAAGCTGGCAGTCAGACATCCCTCTGGCAGCCCAGGAACCCTTGGGGGATGTCCACTTGCCAGCAGGGAGCAGGCCTAAGTTGCAGTTGGACATCCTTAGCACTGATGAGGAGGCGGGAGTGGCTCCCGCCACCACCACTGTACTGGCAGCCATCAGCCTGGCTTGTGGCTGAGCAGAGCTCTCCCTGTGTGAGCACACTGATCACCAGGGGGCAGCTCCTGCATTGAGCGTCCGCCCCCTGGTGGTCAGTGTGTGTCATAGTGACCAGTCATTCCCAGTTGTTCAGCTGTTAGGGTCAATTTGCATATTGCCCTTTTATTATATAGGATAGAGGCCTGGTGCATGGGTGGGGGCTGGCTGGTTTTCCCTGAAGAGTGTCCCAGATCAGGGTGGGGGTCCCCGCTGGGGTGCCTGGCCAGCCTGCGTGAGGGGCTGATGGCTGTTTGCAGGCTGTCCACAGCCCTTTCAGAGTGGGGGTCCCAACTGGGGTGCCTGGCCAGTCTGGGTGAGGGACTAATGGCTGTTTGCAAGCTGGCCAAGCTCCCAATGGAGGCTGGCTGGAAGCAGGTATCTGGGATTTATTTATCTTCTATAATTGAAATTTTGTTGCCTTGAGCAGAGCCTACAGCCGGCCCAGGCAGGTGGGAAGCTTTGCTTCCTCCATCGCCGGGGCAACCAAGCCTCCTGCTTGCTCCAGCTCTGTGGCTTCCGGCCGCCATTTGGTAGGGTTAATTTGCATATAGTCACTCTGTTTGGCTGGTGGGTGTGGCTTGTGAGTATAGCGAAGGTATGGTCAATTTGCATGTTTCTCTTTTATTAGATAAGATTGGATATAACAAAGAGCAAGATCATGTAAACAATGTCTGCAGCCTGGGGATGTTCCTTTCAATAAAACAAAGTGTCACTCATGGTGGATGTAGGAGCATCCATGGCAGGTTCTCTGGCCTTGAACTTATTATATCAGGGGTTAGTTCCTCTCTGGAGTACAGAGAAGCAGGACAATACATGAAAGCCCTGGAACATGCACAACTGGCACAAGCTATGGGGCCTGCCATAAGTATATCTTCTTTATACTAAGGTATTAGGAACAGATCAATTCTCCTAACCCATCACATAGTCTAAGCCCTACTGACTTCATTATTTCAACTGACTCTTATGCCAATTAACAAGCTCTTTGTTATTAATTTAGAATATAATTCCCCCTATACTAAATCACCAAGTGCAAGGTGTTATTCGATATTTGGTCATTTCATATACCTATTCACGCAGGGCTGCAACTAAAGTCAGCATGCAAACATACACAGCACAGTGTTTTTCCTGCATTATTTTAAATGTAACTACTTCCTGGATAAAATAATTTTCTCCAGCTCCATACTGCTATTCTCCTGAGCTTTGTCTCCTTATTTGCTCTACAGGATAAAACACTTTTATTGGACACTGCATCTTTATCAATTGCCCTTGATTTCTGTCCACACCAAGAAAACTACTAAAATTTCTTATTTCAAGCCTCCTTTCCTATCTGTTATACTTTAATCTAATAACTCATCTGTGCACATTGGAACATTAATATATGAAAGACTTTATATATCATCATTGATTACCAAATACTTTCCTAAAAAGATCAATGAACAATAAATGACAATACACAATATGTAACAAAAAATGTTTCCCGATAAATAACTTTTGTGTTGGTTTTTTTCATAAGGTATTTTTATTTTTATTTTTTTATCTTCAATTTCTTTATTGGTTAAGGTATTACAAATGTCTCCTCATTCCCCCAGTAGCCCCCAACCTCCACCCCCCCCCCATGCTCTCATCCCACTGTTGTCTGTGTCCATTGGTTTGGCTTATATGAATGCATACAAGTCCTTTGGTTGATCTCTTCCCCTAACCCCCACCCTCCCCTACTTTCCCTCCAGGAATTGACAGGCTGAACGCTGGATCTGTCCCTGTTCATCAGTCTATGTTGTTCTCTATATTCCACAAATGAATATTTATCTTTCTCTGACTGGCTTATTTCACTTAGCATAATGCTCTCCAGTTCCATCCATGTTGTTGCAAATGGCAAGGATTCCTTTTTTAGCACAGCGTAGCATTCCATTCTGTAGATGTACCACAGTTTTTTAATCCACTCATCTGCTGATGGGCACTTAAGCTGTTTCCAAATCTTAGCTATGGTGAATTGTGCTGCTATGAACATAGGGGTGAATATATCCTTTCAGATTGGTGTTTCTGGCTTCTTGGGATATATTCCTAGAAGTGGGATCACTGGGTCAAATGGGAGTTCCATTTTTCGTTTTTTGAGGAAACTCCATAATGTTCTCCACAGTGGCTGCACCAATCTGCATTCCTACCAGCAGTGCAGAAGGGTTCCTTTTTCTCCACATCCTCTCCAACACTTGTTGTTTGTTGATTTGTTGATGATAGCCATTCTGACAGGTGTGAGATGACACCACATTGTCGTTTTGATTTGCATCTCTCTTATAATTAGTGACTTTGAGCATGTTTTCATATTTCTTTCAGCCTTCTGTATGTCCTCTTTTGAAAAGTGTCTATTTAGGTCCTTTGCCCAGTTTTTGATTGGATTGTTTATCTTCCTTTTGTTAAGTTGTATAAGTTCCCTGTAAATGTTGGAGATTAAACCCTTATTGGTTTAATAACATTGGCAAATATGTTCTCCCATACAGTGAGCTTTCTTGTTTTGTTGATGGTTTCCTTTGCTGTGCAAAAGGTTTTTATTTTGATGTAGTCCCATTTCTTTATTTTCTCTTTAGTTTCCATTGCCCTAGGAGCAGTATCATAGAAGAAATTCCTTCGGCATATGTTTACAATTTCACTGCCTATGGATTCCTCTAGTATTTTGATAGTTTCCCATCTTACGTTTAAGTCTTTTATACATTTTGAGTTTATTTTTGTGTATGGTGTAAGTTGGTGGTCTACTTTCATCTTTTTGCATGTATCCATCCAATTTTCCCAACACCATTTATTGAAGAGACTGTCTTGACTCCATTGTATGCTCTTGCCTCCTTTGTCGAATATGAATTGGGCATAGTGGTTTGAGTCGATTTCTGGGTTCTCTATTCTATTCCATTGATCTATATGGCTGTTCTTGTGCCAGTACCAAACTGTTTTAAGAACAGTGGCTTTAGAACAGTGGCTTTGTTATATAGCTTGATATCTGGTATTAAGACCCCACCTACTTTGCTCTTCTTTCTCAGGATTACTGCACCTATTTGAGGTGTTTTTTTATTCCAGATGAATTTTTGGAACGTTCATTCTAGATCTGTGAAATATGCCATTGGTATTTTAATGGAGATTGCATTGAATCTATAGATTTCTTTGGGTAGTATGGACATTTTAATTATGTTGAATCTACCAATCCATGAACATGGTATGTTCTTCCATCTGTTTATGTCTTCCTCTATCTTTTTTTTTTTCAGTGTCCTGTAGTTTTTCGCATATAAGCTTTTTACCTCCTTAGTTAAGTTTATTCCTAGGTATCTTAATATTTTTGGTGCCATGGTAAATGGGATTGCTTTTTTAGTCTCTCTTTCTGTAAGTTCACTATTGGTGTAAAGAAATGCCTTAGATTTCTTGGCATTAATTTTGTATTCTGCTACATTGCCAAATTCATTTATTAAGTCTAATAGTTTTTTGATGAAGTCTTTAGGGTTTTATATGTATAGTATCATGTCATCTGCAAATAAAGACAGTTTCACTTCTTCTTTTCCAATGTGGATGCCTTTTATTTCTTTTTCTTCTCTGATCGCAATGGCTAGTACTTCCAGTACTATGTTGAACAGGAATCTTGAGAGGGGGCATCCCTGTCTTGTTCCTGTTCTTAGGGGAAATGGTTTTAGTTTTTGCCCATTGAGTATGATGTTGGCTGTGGGTTTGTCATATATGGCTTTTATTATGTTGAGGTATGATCCTTCTATTCCCACCTTGCTGAGACTTTTTATCAAGAAAGGGTGTTGGGATTAGCAACGGCGCTGGCTCAGCGTACAGACATGCCTCTAGCTTTGTTGTTTCTCCAGCGGCGGCAGTTCTCACTACAGCACCAGGACGAGTCCGGTTCGCCTGCCACCGCAGAGATCTCTCTCATCTCCCTTGGATGCGGGAAATCGGGCTGAAGCGGCTGAGTCCGTGATGGAGAGAGAAAAGGAACAGTTCCGTAAACTCTTTATTGGTGGCTTGAGCTTTGAAACCACAGAAGAAAGTTTGAGGAACTACTATGAGCAATGGGGGAAACTAACAGACTGTGTGGTAATGAGAGATCCTGCAAGCAAAAGATCAAGAGGATTTGGTTTTGTACCTTTTTCATCCATGGCTGAGGTTGATGCCGCCATGGCTGCAAGACCTCATTCAATTGATGGAAGAGTGGTTGAGCCAAAACGTGCCGTTGCAAGAGAGGAATCTGGAAAGCCAGGGACTCATGTAACTGTGAAGAAGCTGTTTGTTGGTGGGATTAAAGAAGATACTGAGGAACATCATCTTAGAGATTACTTTGAAGAATATGGAAAAATTGATACCATTGAGATAATTACTGATAGGCAGTCTGGAAAGAAGAGAGGTTTTGGATTTGTTACTTTTGATGACCATGATCCTGTGGATAAGATTGTGTTGCAGAAATACCATACCATCAATGGTCATAATGCAGAAGTAAGAAAGGCTTTGTCTAGACAAGAAATGCAGGAAGTTCAAAATTCTAGAAGTGGAAGAGGAGGCAACTTTGGTTTTGGAGACTCTCGAGGTGGTGGTGGAAATTTTGGACCAGGACCAGGAAGTAATTTTAGAGGAGGATCTGATGGCTATGGAAGTGGTCGTGGATTTGGGGATGGCTATAATGGGTATGGAGGAGGGCCTGGAGGTGGCAATTTTGGAGGTAGCCCTGGTTATGGAGGAGGAAGAGGAGGATATGGTGGTGGAGGACCTGAATATGGCAACCAGGGTGGGGGCTACGGAGGTGGTTATGACAACTATGGAGGAGGAAATTACGGAAGTGGAAATTACAATGATTTTGGAAATTATAACCAGCAACCATCTAACTATGGTCCAATGAAGAGTGGAAATTTTGGTGGTAGCAGGAACATGGGGGGACCATATGGTGGAGGAAACTATGGTCCTGGAGGAAGTGGAGGAAGTGGGGGCTATGGAGGGAGAAGCCGATACTGAGCTTCTTCCTATTTGCCATGGGCTTCACTGTATAAATAGGAGAGGATGAGAGCCCAGAGGTAACAGAACAGCTTCAGGTTATCGAATAACCATGTTAAGGAAACTCTTATCTCAGTCATGCATAAGTATGCAGTGATATGGCAGAAGACACCAGAGCAGATGCAGAGAGCCATTTTGTGAATGGATTGGATTATTTAATAACATTACCTTACTGTGGAGGAAGGATTGTAAAAAAAAAAAAAAAAAAAAAAATGCCTTTGAGACAGTTTCTTAGCTTTTTAATTGTTGTTTATTTCTAGTGGTCTTTGTAAGAGTGTAGAAGCATTCCTTCTTTGTTAATGTTAAATTTGTAAGTTTCAGGTGACATGTGAAACCTTTTTTAAGATTTTTCTCAAAGTTTTGAAAAGCTATTAGCCAGGATCATGGTGTAATAAGACATAACGTTTTTCCTTTAAAAAAATTTAAGTGTGTGTGTAGAGTTAAGAAGCTGTTGTACATTTATGATTTAATAAAATAATTCTAAAGGAAAAAAAAAGGGTGTTGGATTTTGTCAAATGCTTTTTCTAAGTGAATTGATATGACTATGTGATTTTTATCTCTCAATTTGTTTATGTAATGTTTCACGTTTATTGATTTGCTGATATTGTACCATCCTTGCATCCCCAGGATAAATCCTACTTGGTCATGGTGTATGATGTTTCTGATGTATTGCTGGATCCAATTTGCTAGAATTTTGTTGAGTATTTTGGCTTCTATGTTCATGAGGGATATTGGCCTATATTTCTCTGTCATTGTGTTGTCTTTTTCTGATTTTGGTATTAGGGTGATGCTGGCTTCATAGAATGAGCTGGGAAGTGTTCCTTCCTCTTGAATTTTTTGGAATAGTTTGAGGAGGATAGGTTTTAGTTCTTCCTTGAATGTTTGGTAAAAATCCCCTGTGAACCCATCGGGCCCCGGGTTTTTGTTTGCTGGGAGCTTTTTGATGACTGCTTCAATTTCCTCCATAGTTATTGGCCTGTTGATATTTTTAGAATCTTCCAGATTGAGTTTTGGAAGGTTGTATTTTTCTAGGAATATGTACATTTCCTCCAGGTTGTCTAGTTTGTTGGAGGAGAGTTTTTCATAGTATTTTTTTTAACAATTCTTTGAATTGCTGTGGAGTCTGTTGTTATTTTGCCTCTTTCATTTCTGATTTTGTTTATTTGCGTCCTCTCTCTTTGCTTCTTGGTGAGCCTGGCTAGAGGCTCATCCATTTTGTTTATCCTTTCAGAGAACCAGCTCTTGGTTTTATTGATCTTTTGTATTGTTTTTTTGGTCTCTATGTGATTTATTTCTGCTCTAAACTTTATTATCTCCTTCCTTCTGCTCACTCTGGGCTTTTCTTGTTGCTCTCTTTCTAATTCTTTGAGTTGTAGAGTTAGATGATTGACTATCATTTTTTCCTTGTTTTATGAGATAGGCCTGTACAGCTATAAACTTCTTCTCAGGACTGCTTTCATTGTGTCCCATAGATTTTGTATTGTTGTGCTTTTATTCTCATTAGTTTCCAGGGTGTTTTAATTTCTTCTCTGATCTCATTGGTAACCCAATCATTATTTAGTAGCATGCTATTCAGCTTCCAACTGTTTGAGTTTTTTAGATGGTTTTTATTGTAGTTTATTTCTAATATCATGCCATTGTGGTCTGAGAGATGCTTGGTATGATTTCAATCTTCTTGAATTTGGGGAGACTTTGGTTGTGAGCCAATATGTGGTCTATTTTTGAATATGTCCCATGAGCACTTGAGAAGAACGTATATTTTGTGGCTTTGGGGTGAAATGTTCTGAAGATGTCAATTAGGTCCATCTGATCTAGTGAGTCATTTAGGATTGCTGTTTCTTTGCCGATTTTTTTTCTAGAGGATTTATCCAGTGATGTCAATGGTGTATTAAAGTCCCCTACTATGATTGTATTGTTGTTGATATCTCCCTTGATATCTTCCAGGAGTATTTTTATATATTTGGGTGCTCCTGCATTGGGTTCATATGTGTTTTTCAGTGTTATATCCTCTTGTTGTATCGATCCATTTAGTATTATGAAGTGGCCTTCGTATCGCTTGTTATGGCCTTTACTTTGATGTCTATTTTGTCCGATATAAGTATTGCCACCCCAGCTTTTTTTTTCTTTCCATTTGCCTGAAAGATATTTTTCCATCCCTTCACTTTCAGTCTGTGTGAGTCCCTTCTTCTGAAATGGGTCTCTTGTAGACAGCAAATGTATGGGTCATGTTTTTTAATCCATTCAGCCATTCGATGTCTTTTGATTGGAGCATTTAGTCCATTTACATTTAAAGTTATTATTGAAAGGTACTTGCTTATAGCTATTTTTATTTCTGTGCCTGTTTTCTTTCTTAGCTTTTTATTTCTTCTTTTTACAGCATTCCCTTTAGCATTTCTTTCATTGTTGGCTTGGTAGTGATAAACTCCTTTAGCCTTTTTTTTTGTCTGTGAAGCTTCTTATTTCCCCTTCAGTTTTGAATGATAGCCTTTCTTGATAGAGTTTTCTTGGATTCAGTCCTTTGCTTTGCATCACTTTGTAAATTTCCATCCATTCTTTTCTGGCCTGATGTATTTCTTTTGAGAAGTCATTTGATAATCTAATGGTAGATCCCTTGTATGTAACTTTATGTCTTTTTCTTGTAGCCTTTAAGATTCTCTCTTTGTCCTGAACATTTGCCATGGTAATTATGATGTGTCTTGGTGTGGGTCTTTTTGGATTCATCTTGCTTTGGACTCTCTGTGCTTGTGTGACTTTTTTCTTCCCCACCTCAGGGAAGTTTTCTGACATTGTTTCTTCAAATAGATTTTCTAATCCTTGTTCCTCTTCCTGTTGTTCCGGCACCCCTATTATTCGTATGTTGCTTCGTTTCATCTTGTCCCATAGCTCCATTAGGCTCTCCTCCCGTCTTTTAATTTTTTTCTCTAATTGCAGTTCAGTTTGGGTGTGTTTTTCTTCCCTGTCTTCTATTTCACTAATTTGGTCCTCCACTTCTCCTATCCTAATTTTGAAACTTTCCATGGTGTTTTTTATTGCAGCTATATCACTCTTTATTTCTTCTTGATTTCTACATAAGTTATTGATTTTTTCATCCATTTCTTCTTGATTTGTACATACATTGTTGATCTTTTCCTCCAACCAGTTTATGCACTCTAGGACCCTTATTCTGAATTCTTTTTTCTGACATATTGCATGCCCCTGTTTCACTTAACCACCTTTCTGGCAATTCCTCGTTTTCTTTCCTTTGGGGTTTTCTTTGTCTACCCATTTTTGGTCTCAACCACTGATATTGATGTCGAGTCGTGCAGGGGCTGCTCCTTGGGTGGCAGTGGTTCCTTGGGCTGCAGTTGCTGAAATGGTTGCAGTAGTGGCTGCTTCTCGGTTGGCAGCAGCTCCTCTGGTGGGTGCAATTCACAGCAGTGGTGTCTCCTCTGGTTGGCAGATGAGGCTGCTCACACAGCTGCTGTTCCTTGGACAGGGGTGGGCTGATCACGATGCTGCTGCACTTCAGGTCAGGTGGGCTGAGTGTGGTTGCTGCTACTTGGACAGGAGCGGGCTGTTTATGTGGCTTTTTCTCCCTGTATGGGCACAGACTGCTCACGTGGCTGCTGCTCCTTAGATTGGGGCTGGCTGCATGCTGCTGCTAGTCCTCAGATGGGGCGGGATTCTTGTGAGGCTGCCGCACTTTGGGCAGGGGCAGGTTGCTTACAGGGCTACTGCTCCTCTTACGGGTGTGGGCTGCTCGTGCATCTGTTGCTCCTCAGATGGGGGGGAAGGCTACTTGTGTGGCTGCTGCCCCTCGGGTGGGGGAGGGATGCTCACCCAGCTGCTGCTCGTTGGACAGGTGTAGACTGCATTTGGCTGCTGCTCCTTGGACCAGTGTGGGCTGTGCAGGGCTGCCGCTCCTCAGATGTGGTTGGTCTATCTGTTCATGTGGCTGCTACTCCTCTGATGGGGGCAAGCTGCTCAGGCAGCTGCTGCTCCTTGGGCCAGATTGAGCTGCATGTGCAGCTGCTGCACCTCATATGGGGGCTGTCTGCTTGTGTGGCTGTTGCTTCTCGGACAGAGAATGGGCTGCTTGTGTGGCTGCTTCTCTTCAGGCGGGAGTGAGCTGCACATGTGTCTGCTGCTCCTCGGATGGGGGAGCAGGATGCTCACACAGCTGACAGCTGCTGCTCCTTGGACTGGGGCAGGCTGCTCATGTGTCTGCTGCTTGCGTGGTTGCAGTGCCCCAGGCTAAGGCATTGGGCTGGTCAGGGGGGAGCACGCTTCAGAACTCACAGGAGCCTGCACCTGGGTGGCTGAAGATTCGTTGACCGTGAGACCCCAGCTGACGTAGCAGGTCCCTGGCAGGGGTGTCTGTAGAGTCCCTGGTGTTATCTGAGAGCACCCTGGGTGCGGGTGAGGCCTGGCTCCCAGTTACAGCAGCTTTCACCTTAAAAACACTAAGCTTCTGAGGATGAGCCGGCCTCCTGGAACTGCTTACACGGTAGCAGAGGCTGCCTAGTTAGGCGAGCCTGTTTAGCCTGACCCCGAAGGCCCTGCGAGATCTATCTGTGCCTCACTCACATACATACACAGACATCCCACATGACCACACACTCCTCTTTTGGTCCCTCACTGACTCACGCTCTCTCCCTCACTGCTGCCTTCTTCCTGCCTCTGTAGTTGGGTCTGGGGTGTTATTGACCCATTTGTGGATGGAGTTTCCTCTCTAGGTGTCTGGTTATGAGGCTTACTTTTAGCACCTGGCCAGACAGGATGAAATTCACCTCGACAAGACACAACACAAAGGGACCAAAACACGAATGCACTCATGACAATAATAACCCTACTGTAAGTGACCACCTGAGAAAAGAGAATTAGGGGCGAGAAAAGAGAGCATAAATGATATGGAAGGGAGTGGAAAAGATAGGAGAGAAAAGAAGAAGGAAGAAAAGGAGATTATATATATATGGGAAAAACACCACAGAACCAATACATAAACAAACAAACAAAACAAACAAACAAAAAATAATAGTAATAATAAAAATAAAAGTAAAAAATAAAAAAATACAAACACCAAACCCCCAGCAAAGAGGATGGGGCAGAATCTGTAGATGCTGAGCTTATATGTAGAAGATAAAGTTAAAAGTTGGATGAATATGGGGAGGATCTCAGTTCAGTATAGAGGAAGTAGAAAGGGGATGGATGGATAATAGGAAAGAGAACAAGAA